TTCCGCCCTACGAACACAAATACATTCACAGAGGTCGCAAGGCAAAGCAGCGAAGTGTTATAGTTTCATTTGGATTTGCGTAGTAAAAGCAAATCTCGGGGTCGCCGTCACTACGGTGCCAGTGCGTGGTGCTACTATTTGCTAATGCCTGTATAAACTACTGCTGTGTGCTGTTAGTGGGTTTAACACAGCGAAGCGCAGCTCTCGGTGCCGCCGTCCGTTGGTTGGTGAGTCGGTTGGTTAGTTGGTTGAGCTGTCTCTTACCTCTTCGATTCCCAGCGCAATGCTAAATGGATTCCAACTAACTTTGGTGCGGATTTTCCATATTATCATAGGCAAACGAGTGATTCTGGTTGTTGATTTTTGTTGCGTTTTTTGTGCTGAATTGTTGAGTGAGCCGGTGTTTGGTGTCTGCCTGAGTTGCTGACCCATCGTACCCGTATCCAGCACAGTATGTGCGGAGTGCCACATCCAATTTCCCAACAGCACCACGAGCAATCGGTTCAGTGTAGGCAGTACCAAAAAAAAAAACGCGACATTTGTTTACCCAACCCGACATCCTCGCTAAGCACTTTCTAAGCACCAGCTCAAACAAATCCTACTCCATGGCGGTACAAAAAAATACTACAAAACGAATCTATTAATGCGATTTGAATGTGTTTTCCATTTGTTTGTGAACTAGCAAAAACGAACCGTTGATTAGTGTTCCAAAATATGTGTTCGAATATCAATGAAAATGTGCCGCAGCCGCTGATAAGAGTAACAAAATGAGGTTAGCTGGGAATATCAATATGTTGAAGTCGTTAATTTTTAACATTCTGCACAGAATTGCTTGTGTTTAGAATAATATACACTCAATTTATAATTGCTTAAATGTAAATTTGAGTTTGTAATTTTTTCATGATGTGATGTAATTTGATTTGTTATAATGTGATGTGGTTTGACGTGATGTGATTTTGATGAGTTGTTATGACTACCTAAAAATTACGTAATGTGGTTTGGGATGTTATTATTTATGATATTGTGATTTGATGTGATGAATGCTTGTGGGGGTGTGAGTACTGTAATGGGTTTGAGGTGATGTTATTTATTATGATGTGATTTGACATCATGTGATATGACTTAATTTCTTTTGAGGTGATGCTATATATTATGATGTGATTTGATATCACGTGATGTGATATAATCTCTTTTAAGGTTATGTTATTTATTATTATGTGATTTATATGATTTGATGTGGTTTAATTTCTTTTGATGTGATAGTATTTGTTGTGATGTGATTTGATATCATGTCATGTTATTCAATTTCGTTTGAGGTGATGCTTTTTATGATGATGTAATTTTATATCATGTGATGTGATTTAATTTCTTTGAGGTGATGCTATTTATGATAATATCATTTGATATGACAGGTGACATTATTGGTAGTGATCTATGTGATATGATGATATAGAACTATGAGGTGATTTGATGTATGTTATCTGTACTGATGATATTTATTAAAATATGATAAACATGTAATGTAATGTGATGCAATATGATTTGTTTCGTCGTTAGGTGATGCAATATGTATTCTTAGTTTAAGTGGGACGTGTTGTTATTTTATGTAATATGATTTCGAGTGATGTAATGTTAACGTCATGTGTGAAGTGATGTTAAATGAAGGTACGAAATAATCGCATTTTATGCTTTTTGTATTATCTTTGTGTTTAATGTTTCATGTTTTATATATCATGTTTTATGTTTCTTATTTTATATATTATGTTTAATTTTTTATGCTGTTATTTAACTAATATTTTTTCCAATTGTTCCCCTATTTTGCCTTTTAATTTTCAATTTCATTCAAGTCTCTTCAAATTGTAAGAAGAGAGAAAAAAATGAAAATTGAAGAAAAAACAAAAATATGTTAGCCATTATCAGGGCTGCCAATAGCAGCACTACCTGCGGTATACTACATTTCTCCATGGCACATCCCTTGGCATTCCAGACTTCCCTTTGTTGAATATCAAGCCAAAGTAGCGCCAATACGATCACTAGGACACAACTCAACAACTCAAATTATGGACTGGCAAAGGCAATGGAGTGAGCTAAAATTTGTGTATTTTCTATTAAAGATTACAGCGGGGGACAAGTCGGAGGGCTCTGTGCTACCAGCAGCGGTTTTGTGTACGCGACGCGCGCGGTTTTTGTGGCCAACGCACACAAAAGGCGACGGAGACGGCAACGACAACGGCAACGTGAATTACAAATTCAGCACAATGTCCTTTTGTTCATTTCCCAAATCCGCAAAATAAATTAAGGACAATGATGAAGTCCATCAACGTAACACAAAAAAAAAGCAAGCAAAGCTAAGTGAAGCAGCGGCGGTAGGAGTAGGAGTTGCTGGTCGGTGAAGTGTCTGTACTGATGCTGAATAGCAAAACTGTCGTCAAGAAATTTGAAAGCAAGTGGGGAAGAAACGAGTTTTTGAATGTAAATAAAAACTTAAAAAGCGGTAAAAATGTGAGAGAAGTGGCTGAGATTTTTGCAATGCTTTTTTCCAATTCTTTTATATACATTTTTAAAATTTTTTTTCATTTTTCCATTTAATTTTTCAAGTCCTTTTATACACCATTCATTCACTAAAAGCGACCGCTCACTTTTCAAACACATCACCAAAATGAAAAATCATGATGTGCTGGCTGCTAACACCACGATAAATAGCTTGCATGCAACTCTGTGGCAGTCACAGAACGCAGATAAAAGCGGCATAGAGTTTGAGTAATAATCTGCCCAACTGAATTGGACATTTTGTGGAGCTAAAAGCAAGTTTTTTTCTTTTTTTGGCGTTCACCATTCTACTTGCCACTGCTGCTGTTGCTGCTGCTCGTTTAGTAATGAAAATGACAATCAAGAAAAGCGGACAATGCGCACAAAAGTATGCAACGATTTCTTTTGTTGTATGAAGCGTTGACTGTTGGCTAACAAGTAGGTTAGGTTTTAATAATCAAAAAGTTTTGTGCACGCTGCGGTAAAGTTTTGGGTCGAAAATTTAAGTCCTTTAAAAGGCGTTTACTTAATGTGCTTGTAATTTTTGGATTAAAAAATATGGTGAAATAATTTCAGTAAGCATTTCAAACGAAATATGTCTCGGAGGAAAATTCGAAATTTCCATAGATAAAATAATAGTTAAAGCAAGTTAAGACGGAAGAAATATTAAACAAAAAAGATACAAAAACTTAAATAAAATAAAACATAAAAAATGTATAAAAAACCAAAAACAAGAAAATCAATAAATTAATGAAAAGCTAGTAATAGAAAGTAAAACAAAATGAACAAAATTAATAAAAATACATACATTAAATAAAAATATAACCAAAAAATAAATATGGAAAAATAAAATAAAATACTAAAAAACAAAGTAAAATAAACTAAATTAAAATAAAGCAAAGAGAATGAAATTCAAAAAGGATAATAAAATTAAGGCAAGTCTAATTAACCTAAATTAGATTAATTAATATTAAATTGAGTTAAATTAAACCAAATAAAATTAACTAAAATAAAATTAAATAAAATAAATATAAAGTAAAACATTATTTATATTTTGTTAATATAAAATAAGATAAAGTAAAATAGTTATATTGTAAAATAAAACAAACTAGAAAGCAGTAAAATAAATTTAAAATGAATACAAAAAAGTTAAAATAAATAACTTAGAAAAAAAAAAAACAAGATTAAAATGTAATAAAATAAGCTAAATCAATAAGATTAAAAATAAAAAAAATTTAAATGAAGTGAAATAAAAAAAAGTAAAATAAATAAATTGTAAAATTAAAATAAAATACACTAAAACAACATAAAAAGAAATAAAATGATATAAAATAAAGGAAAGTAATTATAATTAAGTATAATTAAATTAAATAAAAAATACTAAATAAAATGAAATAAATCAATAAATGAAAAAAAAAAAATTTAATAATAAAACATACATTAATTTAAATATAATTAAATAAAATAATATAAAATAAATTAAAATTAAAAATAAAATAATATAAAGAAAAATGTATAAAAAAAAGTAAAATTAAATACAAAAAATCAAAAAAAATAAAACAAATTAAAATAAATTAGTTTAAATAAAATAAGATTAAATTGTAATAAATTATTTTGAATTAAATTGAATACAAAAAAACATTAAATTTGAAATAAAGTATAAAAAAATATAAATGAAATGTATTAAAACAAAATAAACTTAAATAATATAAGATAAGGTAAAAAATAAAATAAGATGACATAAAAAATTTAATTATATAAAAGAAATAATAATATAATGAAAAATGGATAAAAATATACTAAAACAAATTAAAATAAACTAAAATCAAGTAGAGTAAAATTGAATAAAAAATGTTAAATAAAATGGTATAAAAAAATTTAAAAATATAAAAGAAAACAAAATTTAATAATTAATTATATATTAAATTAAAATATAGTTATATAAAATAATGAAAAATGAATTAAAATTAAAAAAAAATTAAATTAAATTATAATAATTTAAAGGAAAGTAAAATAATCTTGAATAATATAAAACAAAAGTTAAATATAATAATTTAATAGTTATTTCTCATAGCCAGAAATCAAATACATTTTGAAAGAAAATTTGTCTCTCTCAAATAAGTACTCTCCAGTGACTACTTAGTCAAACCCCCATAGTCTGTAGCATATATTTTAATACTTCCACCTCAGTGTCTGGGGGAAACCAAATTAAAAATATGCATACGTATATTTAATTTCTAACATTTTCCCACTCATACTCAAATACTCATACACACACACACTGCTCTAGAGAGCACTCACATGTTAACAACATTTTTAATGCGCCTAAAATTGTGTCAACCTCCCTTCTGCATATGAATTCTTCACATATTTATTTATATGTACAGACTTTTGTTTACACATATGTATGTACTTCCTGGCACTTAACTTAATACTCATGTTCACTCACTTGACTTTACACCTCATTGCAGGTAGCGGTGCAGCGGACCTCAGCAAGGATCAGTGCAATAAAACAGTGGACATCTTCGAGGATGTCAGTTCGCCGGAGGTGAATAACCAAAATGTGGGACGGCCGTTAACCTGCTGGTATCGCTTCCGCACACTGAAGGGGGCACCACGAGACTTTGTACTGCGGTTACGTTTTAAAAAATTTAAAGTTGGCATACTATTGAATGCAACACACTGTGAGGGCGGCTATTTACAGGTGAGTAAGCAGAGGAGTAAACAGCGGAGTGTGGAGTGTATAGACATGCAAAAATGGGGGTGTGGGTTAATACAAAGCGAACTGGGGATTATAACAGCACGTAGCATACACTTAGGCGAGCACTCAACACAATTTATAGCACACTTTTGCGTGTTGAGCCAAAATATGAAAAATGCCTTTGGCAAATATTTTTCACGTAAGTAAACAGATTATTTTTTATAAGGTTTTCTTTTTTTTTTTAACCATAACTCGGCCGGGCAAATAAAGACATTCCGCAGTTTTATTTCATTTTTGTGCACACCCAAACCGCCTGAAAGCATGCAATAATTTCAAATGGTTCATATGCATGCGGCTCTTTCGCTGGAAAACTACTCAAAAAGTTCTGGCAAATCTGATTTATGACCGCGTACAAGTGCATTGGACGCCAGGTCCAGCTGTGAAGGCTCGAAATAAAAAAAAAATAAATTAAAAAAATTGGAAAAGCGGGAAAAAATCTGTAATTTATGAGTGCTCAACTCTGAGTGTGTAAAGCACTTGTAGTCCATATGGGCACTGCACTGTACAGCGAGCGCCTGCTGTTCTTTTCTTATTTTTTTTTTATTAATTTCTGTTTTGTTTTGTTTTGAACTGTGCCACTTACTGTGCTTTGTATTGTGCATTTGCCGTTGGAATGCAATAAAACCGATTTTTTCTCTTGATGCCTTTACTTTTTGTTGGTAAATATGACATATGAGGTATATAAGGCAATAGACAAAGAGTAAACATGCAATTTTATTGATGAGAATGTGCTCTATATACTGCTAGTTATTTAAATATATACAGATTTGTCTGCGTATATACGATGTAAACAAATAAAACCGTAATATATGCTCAAATAATACTCCTACAGACTGACTAGGGTCCTAAAGCAGTACGAAAGAAACGAAAACGTGTAGTAAAGTAATAGTACTAGATAGAATGTAAAGCAAATAATCAATAGAAAAATCCGTGTTGCGAAATTAATTCCATACATGCGTCTTTAATTAATTTTATTTATTTATTTTTTATTTTAATTTTATTTTATGTTTATTAATTTTATTTAATTCGATTTGTTTCTTTTAATTTCCTTTATGAATTTTGAATTTAATATATAATATTTTACTACATTTTCATTTTATCCTTAATTTTTTATTTTATTTTAGTTCGCTTCAATTTACATTATTTTATTTTTTAAAATTATTCTAGCCCATTTCTTCTTATTTTATTTTATTTATTTTTATGTTTCTTTATTTTATTTCATCTTTTTTATGATATTTATTTTACTTTAACTTATTTTATTTAATTTTATTTAAACTAAATTTCTTCTATTTTGTTTTATTTAAGTTTTTCTTTTTTATACTAGGTTGTCTTAATACTTTTCAAATTATTTTACTTCAATTTTAAATTCATTATTTTTTCTTTTTAATATTGTTTTAATTTAATTAATTTTATTTTATTCAATTTTTTATAATCAATTTTATTTTTAATTTTTTTGTTCCATTTTATTCTTTATTTTATAATATTTTAATTCATTTGAGTTTATTTTATTTTATATTTTAAATTTTTTAAATGTAATAGATTTTTGTTTTTTTAAATTATTTTATTTTAATTTCTTTTTTTATGTTGTTCATTTTATTTTATTTAATTTAATTTTATTTATTTTACTTTATTTTATTTGATTTTTTTTATTTAATTTTATTTTATTTCATTTCATTTCATTTTATTTTATTTTATTTTACTTTTATTTTATTTTATTTTATTTTATTTTATTTTATTTTATTTTATTTTATTTTATTTTATTTTATTTTATTTTATTTTATTTTATTTTATTTTATTTTTATTTAATTTTATTTTTTTTTTATTTTATTTTACTTTGTTTTATTCTGTTTGTATAAATTTTGTTATTTTTTTTATTTATTTATTAAATATAAATTACTTTTTACTTTCATTGAATTTTTGATGACTTTTTAATTTTTATTTTATTTTTATTAATTTTATCTTATTTGATTATATTCTCTATGTCTTTCTTTATTTTATTTTAATTTATTTAATTCCTCTTTTTCTTTATTTTCAATTTAATGGTTTCATTTTACATCATTATTTAATTTTTTTATATTTAATTTTGTTTTGTATCTTTCTATGTTTAGATTTAATATTTTTGTTTTATATACTTGTATTTTATTTTTTATTTAATTTCATTTTTTTAGGTATTATAATTATATGAAATGCTATATATATATTTTCCTTTTACCTTTTCTCCCCTCAGATTGTGGATGGCAATGCGAAAACAGATGTCTCTAATCGTCGTGAGCCGGGCATGTTTTGTGGCGAGGCCGAGCAACCGCAGACATTCATTAGTGAAACCAATTATATTAAAGTGCTGTTTCACACGGATAACTTTACTGATCAGGTACGTGCAATTTATGGACGAAAGTTCTAATAATAATAAAAGTAAGATATTTTTAATAATGCGATCAATGACCTCTTTCACTGGTTGGTCAATCAATATTTAAAAAATTGAATATTATTTTCGAATTTGTAAATACATATAATGTGATATATATATGTACATACGACATATACTATTTTTTATGTCGCTATTGTCATTATGTGTTTAATGAGAAAAAAGAATGGAGAAAGCAAACAACAGACATCATCATACTTATTTTTCATTTGTCAAATGGTCAATCGTTCAGGAATTAATTAATGGAATTCATTTAAGAACAGCAATAAATTATATTTAAATATTTAATTAAATTTAACACCTGCGAAATGATTGACTAAGTACGTATTTAAATATATATACATTCATATAGCATGTATGTATATATGCTTGTTTAAAAACGCGTTCAGGTAATGCATAATTTACAAAAACGTATTGGCATGAATATTGCAAGTGATAAAAGGCATTGATTTATTTAAAAAAATTTAAATGATTTTCTATATATTTATTTTTATTTTTTTTGTTTTTTTTTTGTACCAATACTACTTCATTGGTTAAAAAAAATAGGTGCTATATAATGTATAAAGACCAATAAAAAATTAATTGAAAGAAAGAGCTTATGGAAAATCTGCTGAATTTTTTTTTTGATACAAATAAGCAATAATTCACAGAAAAAAAAATCAATGATAAACGTTGGTATAGATATGTTTCGTTTATATTCAGACGTCAAGGATATAATAATATTTGCATTTAAATACAATGAGATATTTTCCTAAATTTTTGTATAAAAATTTTTCATAAGTTAAAAAAATAATAATGAAGTGAAATAAATTAAAATTAGCTAAAATAATAAAGGAAAGATAATTATATAAAATAAAAAATTAAATAAAAAATAAAATAACCAAATATGAAATACTAGCAGACCCGGCCAGATGCTGCCGTGGCTTTCTGTGTCTAAGTGTCTTGTGGAATTATTATTTTGTATGATAATCATCATACCCACACTGCCATTATATAATACCAAATAATAAGTTTTTTTTTTCTCAAAGCCGGTCACATAAATGACAATCGGATGTACGCTTGAACGTATACTCGTAATAATAGCTTGTAACCCGTAGCTGAAGAATAATGACATTGTGCAGTGCAGTATTAAAATAAAGTAAACAAAATTAAACAAAATAAAATAAAATAAAAGAAAAAATAAAATAGATTAAAAAAATTAAAAAATAAATAAAATAAAATATAATAAAACGAAATAAATTAATTAAATTAAGATTAAATAATAAAATGAATTTAAAATAAAATAACGAAATAAAGAAAATTAAATAAAATAAAACAAATAAAATTTAATAAAATAAATTAATATGCTAAAAAAATTAAATAAAAAATTAAGTAAAACAAAATGAAATAAAATAAAGAAAATAAAATAAAATGAAAAAATTTATAAACAAATTAAACAAATTGAAATAACAAAAAAAAATAAAGCAAAATAAAATGAAACAAAATAAAAAACAAAATAAAAAGAAACAAAATAAAATAAAATAAAATGAAACAAAATAAAAAAAGTAAAAGAAAATAAAATAAAAAAGTTAAAAATAAAAAAATAAAATACAATACAAAAATTAATTAAATTAATTTAAATAGGATTAAATAATATAAATGAATATAAAATAAAACAATTAAAATTTAATAAAATATAATAAACTTATTAAAATAATATAAAAGGAAACGAAAAAGAATATGAAAAAATAAATTAAATTAAAAGTTAATGAAATAAAATAAAATAAAATAAAATAAAATACAATAAAAAAGTTAAAGGTAAATAAAATAAAATAAATTATAATACATAATAATAAAAAAATAACTATATTAAAATAAATGAATATAAGATAAAAAATTAAATAAAAAATATTAAATCAAATAAAATAAAATAAATGAAATAAAATAAAATAAAACAAAATAAATCAAATTAAAAAAAGAAAATAAAAAAGTAGTAAATAAAATAAATATAATTAAAAATAAAATGAAATAAAAAAATAAATAAAATAAAAGAAAGTAAAAAAAAATAAAATAAGATAAAATGAAACAAAATAAATCAAATTAAAAATGAAATGAAAGAAAACAAAATAAAATTTAACAAAAATTAAAGAAACAAAATAAATTGAAATAAAATAAAGTGAAATAAAATAAAGTAAAATAAAATATATTTAAATAAAATGAAATAAAATAATGGTTATATCCCGCCATAACAATAAAAAAATATTAAAATTTTAATTGGAAAAAAAATAAATAATATCGATTGATGTATTAAAATATAAGTAAAAGAGTTTGATATAAAATATGAAAAAATAAAAAACGTGATTACAGCAAGCAAATGTGTTTTTTTATAGATAGTATATAATCCAGTGCAATATTAATTGGTTAAATGTATGAACAAATGAGTATATATTACACTGTCATACATACAAACACTCACGCTCATAAGTACATTGCGGTAATCCTTTCCTGATTAATATCATAAATCTCTATTAATTCAAAACATGAATATTTCAATGAAAACTCAGCTGTTAAAAACATAATGACAGCGTGAAGGTAAAGCAGAGTAAGAAGGTGAGTCCGATGTGTCATTAATATCACCACTGTTTGCTTGCATGACTGCCTGCGGTTACATGGCCGACTATCGAACAAACAAACAAACAAGCCAACAAACAGAGAGACAGACAGACAGGCTGAGTCTGGATGACTACCGGCCATGGCGAGCTGTGGCTGTCATAGACTGGCGGCCATTTGGTGGTTCGCGGTTACGAAAAGTGAAAATAATGAAAATATTGTATTATGGCCACAATGAGCGCACTGCACGAGCACACGTACAATAATAAGTGTATACATATAGACATTTTCATATGCACTTTAGCTAAATGAATAGTCATTAATGAATTTATATGTATGTACATACTCGTTTATGTGTGTATTAAAACATATATAATTATAGTATATTGAAAGAAAGTTGCATCATTGTCTGCTATCAGCCGAGTAGCGTGTGCCAGCGAACAGAAATGGACAAGCATGCTGAAGCAGCCAACCACTCAGCCAGGCAACCGTTCAACCAGCCACGTGTGGCAGTAACCGCAAATGCATGCATGCAACCAGCCAGCTTACTGTGTGTGGCTGAATATATGCATATTTGTACATGCAGGGTTGTGAGTTCGTATGTGTATTTGCAAAGCAAGTGAATATTCGAAAATCAATAACTCGAAATGATATCCGCAAATAAATGCAATAAAGTACTCGCATACCTCGACTAACGGTAATCCGTTGTGTGAAAGTATGCTCGACACATCAAGGCGAGTCATATTGCCACCGAGAGGGCAGGAGACCATGCCAGCCTGCAAGCCAGGCCAACCAGTCCACCTGATGTTGATGCTGACTCAATGCTAGAAGGTTTGACGGCTCACTGGCTGATACGTGGGTTGTTGCGCCAAGGTCCATAGACTGTCGACGTTTAGTATTATTGTTGTTGCTGATGTTGCGCTGCTCCCACAGCTGACTGTTGACTGTTGGCTGGTGGCTGTTGGTTGGTGTGACTTGTCGACTGCTGGTTGCTGATTCTTAATTTATTCGATCACATTCGACGGGAAATTAACAACGTAATGCCATGCGGCAAAACGGTAAATAGCGTTGATGATGACATAAAACGTTCGATATATATACAACATATATATACATATATATATAGATTACATATATTATATATCCATGCAACATAAGCATAAAAGCAGATCTGTAACACTCATTCTCTGTCGGCGGGTCAAATGCTGGCGTCAAGTGGCGACGGCCGGCGGGCGGGCGGCCAACTCTGATGACTTCATTGTCGCGTGCACTTCGATGATGTAATCAGGTGAGCTGCCAACTCGTTGGCATGGCTCCACACTTCGTTATTGGTTATGCATATCAATGCTTTGCACATATATATACATATAGATGTATGTATATGTTGAAAATAATCATTTCAATGGCGGCATGAGCTCTGCAAATTTGTACGGGGACTCAGCTCAATTTAAATGTAGACAACCCTATAATTTCGGATATTTATAGTCGCTTAAGCAGTTAATGACTAGCATCTCCCTCGGTTTGAGTTGTGCTCCTTGAAGGTTTCCTCGCCAAGTAAGGAAAGTGTGCTAGGAGTAAGTCGCTTCCGAATGGCCGATGGGAGTTTTTTCAGAAGCTTTTATTTTTTTAATAGATATGTCTGCCGTAGAGTCTACCTTTTTCAATTAGTTGACTTCTTAATTCAGCCGGTCCACCAACGGAGTTGATCTTCATTTTCATTTTGCCTCTGATGGCGAGTACTGCATCTAATATTTTCCAAGTTGGAGTGCTTTCATACATATGGACTTCATATCGAGTCAACATTGCCACTGTGTCTTCAATCGCTGAACTATACCAAAGTCACCGTATAGCTCGTATAGTACATTGCTCCATCGTCTGCCTTACCCTCCGTAGCTCAGGTACAGCAGACCATAAAAGATCCTTAATGCCGACGCGTCAGCTGTTGTCATCGTACAGGTCTCCGTTCAATATACCAGGAGGAAAATATTGAGCGACTTTTCGAGCATTTACCTTTTATGTCGAGAGAGCACTTTACTACTCAATTGCCTACTCAGTCTAAGGTAGCACCCGTTGGCAAGAATGATTTTACGTTGGATCTCAAGACTGATCTTTTTTGATGCTGAAATTTATTCTAATATAGACCAGACTGTCTGCCCAGGAACCGAGGAATCCCAGCAGTTAGGAACTTTTTCAGTCGTTGATTAGGGCCATTGGGCCTTCGGTAAATATTGCCACTCACTCGGCTAACGCAATGGATTTAATATGGAATGTTGTAAGGATTCGTGGTTTTGATGAGTTTTAAACAACTCTTTGATTTGCAGGCGCTTTGGCTGTGCTTTCCACATACACTGCCGTTG